CATGGTAGGACAAACGATTCTATCACGGTGTCCGACGTGGCACGCCACGTGTACCAAAAAGTGACATGTGACACGCCACATATACCAAAGTCGTGCCACATGTACCAAAAAGTGACACATGTCACGCCACGTGTACCAAAAAGTGACACATGGCATGCCACATGTTTCAAAAAATGGCACGTGGCATGCCACGTGCACAAAAGGATACATGCCACATGTTATTTTTTGTCCACGTGGCATGCCACGTCGGACGCCGCGATCGATTTGTTTTGTCCTACCGGACAGAGGGTGCAAAGTGACACAAAAATAAAACTTTAGGGTGCGTTTTGGTCAAAATAAAAAAGTTGGGGGCAAAGTGGTAGTCCGTACAAATTTAATGGTGCAAAATAGTATTTATGCCAAAATTTAATCATCGACTAGGTTTAAAAAGAAATAGATAAAGTCCATTACTCATATTTTCCATATTATTACAAAATTACTTAAATAGAATAAATTTATAATTTTATAAATTTATAAAATTAGTTGGATTATTTTTAGATAAAAATTAAAATTGATAAAAAACATATGGTTTTCCTATTTTATGTCATAATATCGTTATATCACTCAAAAATTATTTTTGGTACAAACCCTCGGTAGTTACAGTGAATCTCAATTAATTTGGAGTCGCGTCAAATCACAAAAAAAAGACAAATTTTTCCAATATCTATTTTCTTGATTTGCAAAACTCCCGGATGTACGTGAGATTTTTTTTAAAGAGCATTAAGCACTTTCGCTCGAGAAAATGAAATTTTACATATACTTTTCTTTTTTATATTTACTTTTTTTATTTAAACTTATATTCAAAGAAAAACAATATGTATACTTAGATAGAACTTATCAAAAAAATAGAACTTCAAAGATTGGAATTAAGAAAAAAAAAAAACGATGTGTTATCTATGTTTTGTTTGACTGTTTTGTTCTTCTCTCGGACTGCTGGTGTTGTTTCACTGCTCTAATAGCTTTTGATTTATTCAATAAATCAATAATTTCATTTGCCTTTAAAAGAAATGTTTTATTTGATTTTTCATTATAACATATATATAGTTTCGGTTTGGCCCCTCCCAAATCGAAATCCTGGCTCGCCATTGCGTCCTTGCTTAAACACCTATCTCTGTTGCTGAGGTTTATCATTTATTTATGGAATAGAAAAGGGGAGAGGATAGGGTATTAGGGTTATATACTTATATATATTTTTATTTTTTTTAAAAAATTCAATTATGCCTGATACCAGTATTTGTACCAAACACACCCATCATTTAAGGAAATAGTAATACTTGGACTCAATCATTCAAATAAATGAATTCTACAATATATATATATATATATATATAATTAATTGATGATCCATGTGCTTCGATTTGTTAATTAGTTTAACAGCCGGTTAAAATTAAGATTATAATAATTTCGAGATATTCTCAAGGGGCTTTTGATTTGATCTATATCAAGTTATCAACTGCAAACACACACACACCAAATCAGATTTACCGTCAACAAAACAATTAAAAGTTAAAACAAGGCAGTCAAAAGAATCAGACCTCAGTATTCCTGTGATTCCATGTAGCAAAACACCTTTGGACAAAGCATCCTCTAGAGCTTTAAGCTTCAAGAAGATCTCTTCACATTCAGCAAAACTCTTTCCAAAGCAAGCTCTTACAATGACATCTGCGGTGAAACTTCCCATGTAACTATCAATTTTTATCTCTGCAACTCCACCTTCACTTTCTATCTTGGTATTCCAAGTGTTTACAAACGGAATGGTTAAATCTGCCATTTTTTTCATCATACCCTGCAAAACAAATATTATAATTCACAAAAATATTATAGTTCTAGCTGAAACATATATGATTTGAATTTTAGTTTTATTGACCTTGACTTTCTCCATGGACAATTCAGGAACAGAAATCTTCCTATGATGTGCCCAAATTTCACAATTTGAGTTTAGGATTCCTTGACCAAGCAAAGCATCAAGGGCTTTAAGTTGAAACGAAGGTATTGCTAAGTTGAATGAATTGCACTTGCTTATTTCCTTTACAAAGTCGGGATGGGTCGTAACTAACATTTGCATGTTGGCTATTGAAAGCATAGATGTTTGACCTGGATCAAGGAAGAAAAAAAAAAAAGAAAGAAACTGAACTTTTCTTATTGGAAAGAGCTGCTGAAGAACAATGAATGATGATTTTATGAAATTTATTACCGTATTTGTTTCTACAATGCTCAATAAATGGAAACAAAGCTGAAGAACAATTGTGGGATATTGGCTGATCTCCTTCATGGGGCAATTGGGAGCCCTTAAATCTTGTGTTCATCACATCACGGAAATTTCCAAGCAAGAAGGATGAAGGAGGGCCTTGAATTCCTTGCTTTCGGAGCTTGGAACGAAGCCTTTGAGGCTTCAATATCAAAGAATCTAGGAGGCCAATGATACCAAGCAATGAAACCGTGGCGATGACCTTGGCGAGCAAAGCTAGCAACTCCATCACTTTTTTTTTTTTTTTCCCTTAGAAAGAAGGGTTATGTCAAATATAAATAAATAAAATTAATAAGTAAACTTAGATTGTTTTGCTGGAGAAATTATTAGGTGGGACGGATCCATCACGTCATTCATGGGATTAACCAATAGAATTTTGCCATGTCAAATGAACTCCTTAAATTTAGGCACGATTTTAGCCCAAGGTTTAGCCTCCTTTTAAAACAAACCCTATGTAAAGGGTAAGTCCCCTAATTTGAGATTTTATTGGGATAGGATTTTAGAAAATTGATGAATTGTCTTTATATTATTGGTTGGTCTCATAGATGATGTGGTGGGTCCGTCCTACGTAATAATTTCTCGTTTTGCTGGCTCGCAATATGGCTTGCCAAAATATTAATAAGAGATCTTTTTTTTTTGAGAATAATAAGAGATCTATTTAAAGGTGTAGACTTCAGCGCTCCCGTTGTGGTACTCCCACTTTTGGATGTGACGCTCCCAACGATTTCTGACCATTGGATTCAATATTTAATTTCCTTACCGTCCGATACAATAAGTTTTAACTTTCTAAACAGGTTTTAAAAACCTTTTGGACTGAATTCGTATGTGGTTGTCCTCGTGATAGATTTTTACACCTTTTTATTCCACCCGTTGATATCAACAAAATTTTTTTCTTAAGTTTTTATACGTTGTATATTTTGGGAAAATATACGAATTGAATGTAAAAAACTTAAAGAAAAAAATTGGGGAAAATATACGACGTATAAAATCTTAAGAAAAAAGTTTTGTTGATATCAACGGGTGGAATAAAAAAGGTGTAAAAATCTATCACGAGGACAACCACATACGAATTCGGTCCAAAAAGTTTTTAAAACCTATTTAGCAGGTTAAAACTTATTGTATCGGACGGTAAGGAAATTAGATATTAAATCTAATGGTCAGAAATCATTGGGAGTGTCACATCCAAAATTGGGAGTACCACAACGGGAGCGCTGAAGTCTACACCCTATTTAAATCGTCGGAAAATCTTTAGAATTCATTAATGGCTTATTCACTACAACAAAAATTGTCGTTCCTATTGAATTAGCGACATAAAATCCTTAAACACCTGTCTCTATTTCACCATGTGATGAAAATATCCACCAATTTTTCTCACCAACTTATTGTCACGAAAATATTTTTTTCATGACTATATTTTAGTGGCTATACTGCATTTTTTCTTGTAGTGAATATTTTTTTCCCCACTTAGCTATAGTGTCAAGGACATTTTGTCCGCTAAACTTCAAATCATGCAAATTTAAGACAATAAGTTCCCTTAACTTTCCTAATCCTTCTTGTCTTTTAAATTTGACGCAAGTTGACCATTTTTAGATTGGATCTTAATGGAAAAGTTAAGTGTCTGACGAGACTTTTCCGCGCCAGACATGTGGGCCCAATATGCAAAATTCAAGGGAAAAATGACGCTTTTTAATTTTTTTCCTTTTCAAAATGATCAAATAAACCTTCTAACTTTTTTTTTTTTTTTTACAAATTGACAATTTAGTAAAAAAATGGAAAAAATACCATTCCAATATAATGAAAAAAAATTCCATTAGCAAGTCACGATTTTTTTTCTGTACCGGAGCGGTCCCGAGATTTCGGTTATAGTTTGAGTCATCTTTTTTAGCTAAAATTTTGCACACTCCATCTCTATATTATTGTTGATGTCCCTGCAAAATTTCAGCTCAAAATTACAAGTTTTCTATTTTTAACGAGTTTTCATATACCGGAACGGTTTCAGGATCCAGGTGATATATGCTTAGTACATCAATAAAATTAGTTTCAAGACACTATTCTTGACTTTTACGTGCATTGCACATGGATTAATATGTTTAAATTAAATAAATATTAAAATAATAATTGAAATTAATTATAAATCAAAGAAATAATTGCAAGTTCTTCTTTTAATTAAAAAAAAAATAAATTCTTGTTAAAAGGAAAAAAATAAATTTTAATCATAATAAATTAAAGTACCAATAATGCACACTACAAAAACTTTAATTTCTTATTAAAATGAAAGAAAAAAAATATTAATCACAATAAATTAAACTAACAATACACACTCCAAAAAATTAATCACAATAACTAAATTTTAAATAAATTATCAGTTTAATTAATTCTTCAAGTAAATGATTAATAATTAATGATTAGACAGGTTAATTTAATTTTTAAACTTTACTTTTATTAGTTTACATGTTTCAACCCACACGCGAACCTGCAAAAGGTTTAAAATGAGTATTAGAGTTGATAAGTTTTTTTTTGTCTGTCCATCTTGTTCTTAGGCTGCCTGGGATTATTATAATCGGTGAACCTGCTGAAGTCCTGAATTGAAGAACACAACATGTTCGAGTTTTGAGAGTTGAGTTGAGAGATTGGTAATGTTAGAACATTGAAATAGTTATCAATTATATTAATGGCGACAAGGCGGCTATCGAATTGGGCAAGGAGACAGCCGATGGAGTCTTTCTGGTGGAGGTTAAGTTTACACGCTGTTTATGTTAGCAATCTTTCTAACAAGGTTTCAAAGAAGGCCATTTGGGAGATTTTTAATGACTTTGGAGTGGTTGTAGATGCGTTTTTATCGAACAGAAAGCAAAATGGTTCTTCTTGTTTTGCTTTTGTAAGGTATCGATTTAAGGAGGAATCGGTCAGAGCAGTTGAATTAGGCAATGGTCGACGAGTGGATGGAAGGCAGATCTCTGTCCGCAAGGACACTGATAGGAAAATTGATAGAGCTTCTCAGACCTGGAAGAATTCTCACAGTGGTGGGGGCCAGGTTAATACCAACTACAATCCTGCAACAAGGTTTAACCAGAGGAATGCCAGACTTCAATCTGGCTTTTTTGAGAATAGGCGTAGATTTCTGCCTAATAATAGGGTAAGGGGTCAACGTGTGGTAAGAGAAAGAAGCCAAGTTCGAAGAATGTTTCATAGAGTGAGAAGGGAGGATCGTCGCCATGGTCATAGTCCTGGTAGAAAGAATGGGGTTCTTAACAATAATCCTTGCAGTGGATGCGAAGATGATGTTAAGGATGATTCTGCTCCTGTTGAGCCCCCAAAGAACGATGCCATTCAAGCAGGAACTAGCATTCCCATTGATAATGCTTTGGAGGAGGGAGAAGTGAGCTTAGATGAATTTGACGATGTTGTTAAGTACCGTGAGAATGTTGTGATGGATATTCATATTCCGGAAGTTGACATGTTGTAGCTGGAGAGAAGTATTATTGTTATGTTAAATGGTGATGGGATTCTTACGGAGGCGATTCAAGTTTTGTCCAAAATGGACTTAAAAGTGCAGATCAGGGAGTTGAGTAGTATTACACTTCTCTTAACTTTCGAAGAAGCATCGTTGGTTGATGTGTGCATTGGCATGGTGAAGAGTCTTGACGGTAACTTTATTTCGACTGTTGAGTCTTGGGAATTTTCTTCAACTCAGAGGAGTTCCCTGGTGTGGGTCTTACTTGAGGAAGTACCTCTTGAGTTATGGCATAAGAATTTTTTTCATAGCTCTATGCAATGATTCGGGCAAGTTGGTGAAGATTGATGATATTACGTTGAGAAGGGAGAGCCTTAAGTTTGCTAGATGTCAAGTACTAATTTCCAGTTTATCAGATATTCCAAAGCTCGTGGTCGGGACTTCCATGGATATTAAGTTCAAAATTCATGTCACAGTGGAGAAGGACGCAGAGCCTGTTCCGGTGGTGAGCCAAGAAGACAATTGTACTCCGGCGCCATTATTTTGTGCTTCTCAAGATGATTTGTCGCCTTCCATTAATGAGTTAGCCTTGGTACTAGCCGAGAATATTGATAGTGTTTTTATTGATGATATCATGCATGTTCAAGGTGGCATTCGAAGTGGGAGTATTAATGATGATAGCAGAACCAAGATTTCGGTTGAAGAGATAATGGGGGAAAGTTTAAATTTCTTTGAAAATGAATATGTTAGTAGGGAGATTGTTGTTTTCAATGCTGACGGGGTATCTTCTGAAGAGAATGTTGACTTTGTAGCTGAGACTTTTGAGGAACAACATGTTTCTGATCCTGGAGCCCACTACAGTCCAAGTTCAAGCCTAAATACAAGTCGGGCCAGTTTGGAAATTAACAACGATGGAGGAATTGGGTTTGGTAAAAATTTTAATCCGCTGGGCTTGAGGGTTAAATGGGTCAAGTGCAAAGGGTGTGAAAAGAAAAAAAGGGATAAGAAGAGGAGAAGGGTTAACAGATTAATCTATGGTGACAAAACTACAATCGTGATTGACTCTGAAGCGTCTCTTTCAGATGGTGCTATAAGGAGGAGAAATAATTCCTTAAAAGAGGCAGATGACACCTTCGAGGTTAGTACCGCTCTCGGTATTGAGTTCTGCGAGGAAGAGCAGCGATTGTGTCAAGATTTGCCGATCTTGATACTAATTCTTGAGAGGCTCGGCCTGTTTTTGTGTGGGTTATGGTGGTTATGAAGATTCTTTCTTGGAACGTTCGTGGGTTAGGTAGGAGGGAGAAGAGAAGGGCAGTAAGGTCTGTAGTGGCTCGTAATCAGGCTGATATGGTATTACTACAGGAGTCGAAATTGAGTGAAGGGGATTCGAATTTAATCCAGTCTTTGCGGGGGAAACAAAATTTTCAGTTTCGGATAGCTTATGCGGTTGGTTCTGCTGGGGGGTTAATCTCGATTTGGGATGAATCATTCTTCTTATTGGAGTTTGCTGTGGTTGAACAGAGGTACATTCTTTGTGTGGGTGTGCTGAGAACCATAGGGTTTCATTGTGTTATTGGTTACATTTATGGGCGTAATGAAGAACAGGGGAGGAGAGTTTTATGGGAAGAACTCAAAGATTTAAAGACTCATTTTGATTTGCCATGGATCTTGGGTGGTGATTTTAATGTTGTTTTGTCTACAAAGGATCGAATGGGAGCAGCGGATAATTCTCAAGAATTGATCGGTTCATCGTTAACACTGAGGTTCTGCTAAGCTTTCCTAATTTGAAGTTGAATGTGAAGCCAAAATCTTTATCATATCATAATCCAATTTTATTGAATGTGGATAATCAAAACTGGGGTCCAAAGCCGTTCAAGTTTTTAAACCATTGGCTTGATATGGAGGGTTTTAAAGAGATGATCAACGAGGGTTGGGGTGAAGTTGATGGTGTTGGCAATATTTATCAAAAGTTGAGGTTGTTGAAGCTAAGATTAAAGAATAGTTTAGTGTGTGTGGGAAGGTAGATTTTAGACGTATTGAAGAAGTAGAGGAGGAAATACATTTGCTGGAATTACAGATGCAAAAGGGCAGTGATATGGAGGTGTCAAAGAGGAAAATATTTGAGAAGAAAGGCGAGCTATGGAGGCTTTATCGTATGGTTTAGAGATCCTGGCAGCAGAAGTCAAGGTTACAATGGTTTTCGGTTGGTGATAAAAACACCAAATTCTTTCATTTGGTGGCTTCTAACAGGGCTCGAAGGAACCATATCGGGCGCATTGAGGTTGATGGGAGGGTGGTCGAAAATCCAGTGGAGATGAAGGAAGGTATTTCGAGCTTTTTTGAGAAATTTTATAATGCCTAAACCGCTGCCAAGGTTATTGATCTTGGGTTCAGTTTTAAGCAAGTGGGTGAGGGTAATATTGAGTGGTTAGAAAGTTCTGTGTCTAGTGAAGAGTTGTATGAAGCAATTTGTGCTTGTGATGGGAACAAGGCTCCAGGACCCGATGGCTTTAATCTTTGCTTTATTAAAAGTCATTGGGAGTTGCTTAAGGACAGTATGTTGGAGTTCATCTCTGATTTTTGCAATGGTAAAAGATTTAATGCTAATGTTAATAACTCTTTCATCACTTTAATTCCCAAGTGCGATGGTGCTAGTAGATTGGATCAATTTAGGCCTATTAACCTGGTGGGGTGTTTATACAAAATTCTTGCTAAAGTTTTGTCTAGGAGATTGAAAACTGTTTTATCGGGCATTGTTGGAGAGACTCAATTTTCATTTATCCAAGGAAGACAGATTCTTGATTGTTCGCTTATTGCTAATGAAGCGGTCGAAGCTATGAAAAAGAATAAGCAAGGTGGCATTTGTTTCGAAGTCGACTTCGAGAAGGCCTATGATAGTGTTGATTGGGATTTTCTCGACTTTATCATGAGGAAGATGGGGTTCGGAGATAAATGGATTAGTTGGATTATGAAGTTAGTCACTACTCCAACTATTTCTGTTTTGGTAAATGGCTCGGAAGCAATTTTCGGCTGCTAGAGGGTAAAGACAAGGTTGTCCGCTCTCTCCGTTTCTATTCAATATGGTTGGTGAAGCTTTGAGTCAAATGCTTTATAAGGCGGTGGAGATTGGTCTTTTCACTGGTTTTAAGGTGGGCAATGTTGCTATTTCTCATTTACAATTTGCGGATGACACTCTTATTATGTGTCAGGCTGATTTGGAGCAAGTTTTAAATGTTAGAAGAGTACTCGGGTGTTTTCAATTAATTTCTGGCCTGAAGATCAATTTTTCGAAAAGCAGTATTTTGGGGATTAATGTTGATCAGTCTATTGTTCAAGAATGGGCTAGTATTATTAAGTACAAGGTGGGTTCTTTTCCTTGCTTTTATCTGGGGTTACCATTAGGTGCAAGGCCTAATTCAGTTGCGTTGTGGAAGCATGTTGTGGAAAGGTGTCAAAAGAAGCTGGCTTCGTGGAAGGCAAAGCATTTATCCATGGCTGGTAGATTGGTGCTTATCAATTCGGTGTTAGCAGGGTGCCCAATTTACTTCATGTCTTTATTTCCTCTCCCTGTCACTGTTGAATCTTAGCTTGAAAAAATTATGAGGGGTTTTTTGTGGTCAGGCTTGGGTAATGGGAGGAAAATTTACCTTGTTGATTGGGACTCAATCTGCAAGTATAAGGATCAAGGAGGGCTGGGGATTGTGAATCTTGGTTTAAGGAGTAGAGCTCTTCTTAACAAGTGGCTGTGGAGGTTCGGGAATGAGCATGGCAGCTTGTGGCAGAAAATTGTTGCTGAAAATAACGGGATTTCGTCTGTTGGTCTTTTCCTAAATGCTGATTTCAGAAGATGCTCTGCGCTGTGGAAGGCTATATCCAAACCCATTAGATGTAACGATGCCTTGTCTGATTTTACTACCGAAGGTATGCTTGTTTCAATTGGGGATGACTCCGAGGTTGATTTTTTGAGGGATGAGTGGATCTGTGGAGTTATTCTTAAAGACAAGTTCTCGAGAATTTTCGCTTTAGCTTCTATTAAGGATGGTAAAGCTATGGATTATGGCCAGTTTCATAATAATGAGTGGAAGTGGAATGTCACATTGATGAGAGAGTTATTTGGTTGGGAGCTTGATCAATGGCAACGTTTTATTGATACCATCTCTGACTATCATTTGGTGGAAGGGTTAAGGATGTTTTGCTTTGGAGGCATTGTTTCAAAGGAGTTTATTCGGCTGGTTCTTTTTGCAAAGCTTATTCTTATAGTCGGTTTTCTACTAATGATGTGTAGAAATGGTTGTGGGATGGATCGGCTCCACCTAAGGTGGTGATGCTTGCTTGGCAGATTCTGAGGAAGCATGTGGCGGTTAAAATGGAACTTCAAAAACGAGGTTTGATTTCTCTTGAATCTTCCTTGTGTGTTTTTTGTTGCAAAGATTTGGAGACTGTTGAACATTTATTTTTTACTTGCCCTTGCTCTTGGGTTGTGTGGATGGCATGCTGTAGTCTTTGGAATATTAGTTGGGTTACTCCAAAAGATCCTACCTTGTTTTTCATGTCCTGGATTTTTTTGGTTGAGGATTGTGGTAGAGCTAAAATCTGGAAGATGGCTTTTTATGCTATAGTGTGGTCAATTTGGCTACATAGGAATGAGGTTGTGTTTAATCAAAAGCATTTTGATGCACTCCAACTCTTTGATATTATTAAGTTGAGGCTTATGTGGTGGGCTAAGGCTGCTTGGCCGAATGATGTTGATAATGCTACGGATTTTTTTCGTTTTCCTAATATTGTTTGTATATCTAAGAGGAATATGGTGGTGCCAAGATGTGTGTCTTGGAAATGTCCTGCTGTGGGGTTTATGAAATTTAATGTCGACGAGGCTGCCAGAGGAAAGCCTGGACCAGCTGGTATTGGGGGGTTGATGAGAGATGATACAGGGAAAGTTTGGATGGAGTTCTCGAAGTCCATTGGTGTTACCGAATCCAACGAGGCTGAAATTTGTGCGATTAGAGAGGCCATCCTGATGTTTTGTGCTTCGCGTTGGGTTACAACTCATGGTCTTATCATTGAGAGTGATTCTAGAAATGCTATCAAATGGATTGAATGCCCAGATGAAGTTCCTTGGAGGTTGAGGAAGTGGGTTAGCCATATTGGTAATTTGCTCAAAAATTGCTCTTCTTATAGTTTCAACCATATCTTCAGAGAGGCAAGTATGGAAGCTGACAAACTAGCCAAAGAAGGGGTGGATCGGTCTGTGCCTTTTATTAGGCACTTGGTGTGATTTGACTTAGCTTAGGTTGGTTCTTTCATTTTGTATGTGTGGGCTGTCTTTGTTTTCGGTTTGTAGGCACTTGGTGTGATTTGGTTTTGTTTAGGTTGGTGCTTTCTTTTTGTATGTGTGGGCTGTCTTTGTTTTCGGTTTGTAGCTGGTGTGAAGTTCTTTGGGCGGGTTTTGGCTGGTTGTTAAGGTTGCTTAGTGCCGGGTTATTGTGTTTGGTTGGGTTTGGCAATTTTTTCTTTCGGTTTCTTTGTGGTTCTTTTGTTTTTTCTAGGGGTGGGTGTACTCTTTTTCCTTTTTGAGGATTTTTCCCACTGGATTTTTCCTCTTGAAGGTTTTAACAAGACACCCCTATGTACCCCTTCTTCTTTTATTAATAATACTTTGCTTTTCAGAAAAAGAGTTGATAAGTTTTTATATTTTTATCATTTCCATTTTTTTTAGCAGTACAATTGGATTGTACTTGTACTTGTGTAATAAGAAGATGCAGCGTTTTTCTATAACTTGATATTTGTTTTCCCAAAATTGAAAAAAACCATTGTGTGGATTATATATTATGTTTTTTTTTAATATATATATACAAGTTAATATTTGTTCGAGCTGAGTTGGTTCACTATGGGGTAAAACTTTTTCACCAATTGTTTTTTTTATTAACAAGACTCGAATCTGAGATCTTGTTTAAGGGAAACAAGTGTCAAACCACTTAAACCAACCACTTATTGATATTATATATTGTGTTGATGTTGGCTTCTATAGGAAAATTAAGGGAAAAATAATTCTTGCTAGATTTTTTCTAAGAAGGTGTTTTTGAGTGGAACACACGTTAAGATTTAATTAGTAATATTTTTTTTTCCAAAATTCAAAAAACATTGCGTTGATATTGGCTTTTATAGGAAATTAAGGGAAAATATATTTCTTGCTAGGTTTTTTCTAAGAAGATGTTTTTGAGTGGAACAAGTTAAAGATTTAATTAATAAGAGAGTTGACAAGTTTTTTTTTTTATCCCATCCGGTATCCAGGGCTTTGCTTTTATTAATTCGGATCCGACCCGCGTCGCGCACCTGGTTATGGTGATTGGCAAGTTTTTATATTTTTATATTAATTTTCAATTTTTTTCCCTTTCCTGATATTGTGTATCAACAGGAAAATGAGATAAAAATATGCTTTTAAGGAAAAAAAAAGTTTATATATGCAAGTTAACTTTGTACGAGTCGGGTTGTTCCACTATGGGGTAAAACTCTCCCAACAATAGTTTTTTCCATTCACAAGACTCGAACCCGATACCTTACTTAAGGGGAATAAATGTCAAACCACTTGAACAAATGACATTATCATTTTCATTTTTTAGCAATATATAATTGGATTGTACTTCTGTAATATATAAGAAGATGCATTGTTTCCTTAGTTGGGTCAGTCCATTACGGGAGTAAACCTTTCCCAACAATTGTTTTCTCCATATACAGGAATCGAACTCAAAATCTTGTTTATAGGTAATAAGTGACGAAGCACTTGAACCAACCCATTAGTGATAGATGCATCATTTTCTATGAGTTGATATTTTTTTTTCCCAAAATGCAAGAAAACATTGTGTTGATGTTTGCTCTTATAGGAAACTAAGGGAAAAGATAATTTTTAAAAGATAATTTTTACTAGATTTTTTCTAAGAAGGTGTTTGAGTGCAACACGTTAAGATTTAATTAGTATGAGAGTTGATAAGTTTTTTTTATATTTTTACAATTTTCATTTTTTTTAATTTCCTTCTCTGATATCGTGTATCAACAGGAAAATGAGATAAACATATGCATTTAAGGAAAAAATTGGTCGTTACTCTGTTTTGAAACCCTACAATTGGTAAAGCAACTGTCCTTTGATCCTGTATTGTTTGAATTAATTTGCTTTACCAGAAAAATAATTTAGATTTACGATTTACGATAAGAAAATGGGAACCTTGTACAGTTGGAATTGTCTAGAATACGATATAAAAATTAAATTCTATCAGGATGATTTTTTTTACAGTAAAAAAAGAGTCTTTTGGTGGGCGTCATTGATCCTAGGGGCTTTAAGTCCTCCGCTCCCTCTTAAACTCTGATGACTCCATGGCGAGGGGCACACCTGTGGGCAGTAGTGGGGCGTGCCAAGAGTGGATCATAACACAAGATGGAAACAAGTAAGAGTCTATGTGAGAAAAACCTTGCATTTACTCAGACTCTAACCCATGACCACACTTGTAGCAAACCTTACACTCGGCTTCCTGCCACTGAACCACCCTCACAGGGGCTATCAGGATGAGTTGAATCATGGTGGGATTTTTTTTTCTTTAGAAAAAATAGTATATAACGATATAGATTTACTTAAATAAAAATAGAGTTTTAATATCATAAAACTATAAAAGTTTATATAATTACATTTAACAAATATATTAAAAAGATGGTATAATCAATTCTCGATTTAAAGTTTTACAACATTCGTACTTTTATATCTAATTTAATAAATATATTAAAAAGGTCCTTTAAAAAAATATATTAAAATTAAAAAGGTACAATCATCGTCGATATAAAAGTTTTACAATATTCATACTTTTAAAATTACTAGTTTTCAACTCCACGTGCATTGCATGTGATCCATTGTGTTTAAATCAAGGTTTTTGAAACCGGACCGGCAATATAACCGGTGAAGGTTCTGGTCGACGATTTGACCGATTCAATTGTCGGTCCGGTCTGATAAGGGTATTTTATTGAAATTATTGACATTTTACCTTTTAAATATTATAAAAGGTATATACATATATTGCCTAAAAGCATTTGGTGCGGTGGCATAAGCATGTTTCTTGTTGGTTCAAAACTCACCACTTTCAAATTTTTTTCCAAATTTTTTCAACTATCAAACCGGTTCTATCCATTCAAAACCAGATCCAACCGCCGGTTCAATCGGCTTTTACTCAGTTGTTGACCATGTTGACTAACCGTGGTTCCCACACCTTTAATGACCGTACATACCATTAGTTCCCGGTTAAACCGGTCCGATTTTGAAAACATTGGTTTAAATTTTAAAAAATAAAATAATAATTGAAATTAATTATAAATAAAGCAGTCAAAACTTGATCGAACTCGATAACACATCCAACTGACCGAACCCGATTTGACCAGAAAGAATAAAGGACCCGAACCCATCATATCCAAACCCGACAAACCCATAACCCGAATGATCCAAGAATATTATATACTAAAATTATGTTTTATTCAATAAAATCCACATTGTTATAATTTTAACCATTCTAAATTATCATTTATTCAATAAAATTTATATTTATTGTTATAATTTTATTAAATTTGCTAAACTTCATTATATGAACAATAATTATATGAATATAAGTATTAATTCAGTTATATAACTAATTTATGATAAATTTATAATTAGTAATATGTTTTTTTACATAATGAATAAATAATAATAATTAATTAGTAATTTCTTGACAATTTTTTTCTATTAGGTTACTACCTTACTAATAATCTCACCGGTAAGAGTTGTAATTTTATTTTCATTTTTATGGATACTTATATTATTAATTAATTTATAATTTTAATTGATGTAATGAAAGAAACATAAATTTGGATATTATATATATAACCAATATTTATTTGAACATATACCCCTACTTCATAATTAATTATGTATTAAATATTCAAAATTAACATATAAAGGGACATGTGTCAACTCTTTAACCTTGTATATGCAGTTTGCTAAACTTCATCGGTAGTCTATTGTAAAATAAATCGAATAATAAAGATATTAAATAAATTTAAGAATTAAACATTAAAAATTTCAAGGCTGACCTAATTGATCCGAGTTCTAGACCCGAAAAACCCAAAACTTGAATGACCCAAACCCGAGTGGCATGAGACCAAAACCCGAACCCGCCTGGCCCTAGACTCAGTAGACCCGACCACCCGAATGACCTGAACCCACATGAGGCAAAATCCGAATGAGCCGAGAAAATTACCTGACTCATTTGAGCCAAACCCCAATGACTCAAACCCGAAAACCCGCCCAACCCACGCAATTGACTCTTCTAGCCTTATAAGTCAAAGGAAATAATTGCATGTTACTCTTTTTCTATTTTTAAAAACTTTAAATTCTTGTCATACACTCTAATACATTAAACTACCAATACACAATCTAAAAATAGAAAAGGTCAATCACAATAATTAAATTTTCAATAAATTTTGAACTTAATTAGTTTTAAAAAATATGAATAATTAATGATTAGGCAACTTATTTTAACTTTTAAATTTGATAATAATAATTTTATTAGTTTTTATTATAAAATTAAAATGGGTCCAGAACTATCAAAAAGTCTCCAAATTTTTAAAATTATAATGGCAAAATAAAATATTTATAAAAATATTGAATTTAATTAAATAAAAATAGAGTTTTTAGTTGAATAACTGTAAAAGTTTATTTCTAACAAAAAATTGTAAAATTTAAACAATGTCATTTAAGAAAAATTTTTAACAATTCTAATATATCTAAGTTTTTTAATTAAATTAGTAATATGGTAAAAATAAAATAGGTATAAGGATATTACATTTAATCAAATAAAAATAAAGTTTTTAGTTGAGTAAAGTTATAAAAGTAAAACAATAAAATGGTAGAAATAAAATAGTTATAAGGATATTAGATTTAATTAAATAAATAAAGAGTTTTTAGTTGACTAAAATTATAAAATTTTAAACAATGACATTTAAGAAATATATTCGAAAAATAAAGGTATAATGGACGATTCAAAAGTTTTACAAGAACTCGCACTTTTATATATAGTATAGATAAATTAATTAATAAAACTTTTTAATATAAATTGTAAAAAGTATATCAATTAAAATTATAAATTGTAACAATGTGGATTTTACTGAATAAAATATAATTTTAGTTTATAATATTCCGGGGTCATTCGGGTTAACTTCTCAGGTCATTTGGGTTACAGGTTTGTCGAGTCTGTATAGGAT